AGTAGCCGGAATTACAGGCATGCGCTACCATGCCCGGCTGATTTTTTTTGATTTATTGTATAGATGAGGTCTCGCTGCCCAGGCGGGTCTCGAACCCGCGTGCTCAGGCAATCCACTCATCTCAGCCTCCCAAAGGCACGAGATTACAGGCTGAGCCACTGAGCCCGGCTGTTGATGTATTTAATTACATTTATGGTCTTGCGAATATTGAACCAGCCCTGCATCTGGGGATGAAGCCTACTTGGTCATGGTGGATGATTTTTGAGATGTGGTTTTGGATCCAATTTGCTAGAATCTTGTTGAGGATTTTTGCGTCTAAAGGATATTGGCCAGTAGTTCTCTTTTTTTGTTGGATCTTTACCCATTTTGGGTATCAGTGTGATGTTAGCTTCATAAGATGATTTGGGGAGAATTCCATCTTTCTCAATTGCCTGGAATACTTTCAGTAGTATTGGTATCTGCTCCTCCTTACACATTTTGGAAAATTCTGCTGGAAAGCGATCTAGTCCAGGGCTTTTTTTTTTTTTTTGTAGATAGTTTTCTTATGATAGTGTCAATTTCCTGGGTTGGTATTGGTGTACTTAGTGCCTCAATGTCTTCTTGTTTCAACCTGGGGAGGTTGTGTGATGTAAAAATGTCCTCCATTTCATTTAGGTTATCAAGTTTGTTTCCATATAGGTGTGCATAGTAATTTTTGATAATCTTTTGTATTTCTTTGGGGTCAGTTGTGATTTGATCTTTTGTATTTCCGATTGTGTTTATTTGGACTCTTACTCTCTTTTTCTTGGTCATTCTGGCTAGAGGTCCATCAATCTTGTTATTTCTTTCAAAGAGCCAACTTTTTGGGTTTTTTTTATGTTTTTCTATGATATTTTTGTCTTCGGTGTCCCATATTTGGTCTCCTATATTGGTGTTTTGAATTTTTCTACTAAAGTTAGGGTTTTGGTGATCTTCTCTTTCCAGCTCCCTTAGGTTAGACTCTCAATTTGTGATCTTTCCATTTTCTTGATGTGTGTTTGTAGAGATATAAATTCCCGTCTTAGATCTGTTTTCATGCCATCCCAGAGGTTTTGGTAAGTTGTTTTTTCATCTTCATTTGCTTCCAGGAATCTTTAATTTCTGTCTTGATTTCAGTGTTGACCCAATAGTTGTTCAGCATCATGCTGTTTAGTGTTCATGTCTTTGTGGACTTTGGGGAAATTTTGTTGATGTTGATATCTATTTTTATTCCACTGTGGTCTGAGAACATGCATGGCAATATTTCAGCCTTATGGAATTTGTTTATCTTGATTTATGGCCAAGGATGTGATCTATATTGGAGTACATTCCTTGTGGTGATGAATAGAATGTATATTCTGTGTTTGTTGAGTGGAATATTCTGTAGGTATCTATAAAGTGCTTTTGGTTCAGTGTCAAGTTTAGGTTCTGAATCTCCTTGTTTTGCCTTGATGAACTCCCTAGAGCTGTTAGTGGAGTATTCAAGTCCCCTGCTATAATAGTGTTAGAGTCAATATCTTTTTTTAATTTACTTAGTATTTGCTTTATGATTGCTGGTGCTCGTGTGTTGGGTGCATATATGTTTAATGGATATTTCTTGTTGATGAGTTGAACCTTTTATCATTATGTAATGTCCTTTTGTATCTTTTTAAAGTTTTGATAGCTTAAAGGTTATTTTGTCTGATATTAAGATTGTGACTCCTGCCTTCTTTTGTGATCCATTTGCCTGGAAACTCATTTTCCATCCTTTCACTTTGAGTATGTGTGTGTCCCTTGTAGTGAGATGAGTCTCCTGGATGCAGCAAATAATTGGGTCATGGTTTCTTATCCAGTTTGCCATTCTGTGTCTTTTCAGTGGTGCAGTTAGTTCATTCACATTCAGGCTGATTATTGAAATGTGATTGTTTATTCCTGTCTTGGGGTTCTTATAAAGTATTTTTCTTTGCTTGTTTTCTTTTGGCTTTGGAGTTAATATATATGTGTTTCTTCAAGTTTTTTGTTGCACTGTATTCTCTGTTGATTTCTGTATTCTGCTGTTCTCTTGGGAAGTGTGTAGTCATTCTTTTTTTTTTTTCTTTCTTCTCTGTCTAATACCTTTATAAGTGTCTCCTGTAGAGCTGGTCTGGAAGTTGCATATTCTCCTAGGGATTGGATGTCTGGGAAGGATTTTAATTCTCCATCACTAATGAAGATGAACTTGGCTAGACAGGAAATGCTTGGTTGAAATTGTTTATCTTTGAGGACTTTGAATATAGGTCTCCAGTCCCTTCTTGGTTATAGTGTTTCTGTCAATAGGTCTGCTGCTATTCTGATTGGCTTTCCCTGGTGGGTAGTCTGACCTTTCTCTCTTGCTACCTTTAGGATTTTTTCTTTGGTGCCTACTTTGTGTAGGCGAATTGCTGTGTGTCTAGTGGTTGGTCTTCTCACTTGATGTCTTGTGGAGGTTCTCTGTATCTCTTGTGCTTGGCTGGTCACATCTCTGGTGAGATGGGGAAGTTTTCTTGGATTACCTGGAATACTTGCTCCAAGTTGTTTTCCATTTCCCTTTCTTCTGTGATACCAATCAGGCATAGGTTCGGTCTCTTGAAATAATCACACATCTCTTGTAGGCTTTGTTCTTTCTTTCTGAGTTTTCTTTCTGTTTTTTACAGATCAGGTTAATTCCATGTTCTGGTCTTCAAGTTCTGAGATTGTTTCTTTAGCTATATTTATTCTGCTTTACATGTTTGTCATCTTGTTATGTATGTCCTGGGTGAAATTTTTTATTGCCAAAATCTCTGTTACAAGTTCTTTCAGTGTTGCATCTTGTCTTTCTTGAATTTTATTCACTCTTTCCATCCATTCCCTAATCCTTGTCATATTCTGGGGTCGGTCGTTGGTGACTTCCATTGTTTGGGCTCTGAAGTCTTATTTTACAGGAGTTTTGTCTTTGGTACACTTGAAATTGCCTGAGATCTTCCTTTGGTTTTTCCTCATTTGTGACAGATCTCTTGTTTTTCTCTTTAGTTCTGTTATTCAGTGACTGTGGGAGAGGCTTTCACTTCTAATGTTTGCTCAGCCCCCTATTCTTCCCTGATCTGGGTTCTGGATTTGTTCTATTTTGTTTTTATTTTTTATTTTTTTGAGTTGGAATCTCACTCTGTCGCCCAGACTGGAGTCAGTGGCTGCTCCCGGCCACTGCAGCCTCAACCTGCTGGACTCGATCCTTCCACCTCAGCTTTCCAAGTAGCAGAACTACAGGTGCACACTACCACACCCGGCTAATTTTTTGTTTTATTGTAGAGATGAGGTCTCACCAAGTTGCCCAGGCAGGTCTTAAACCTGCAGATTCAGGAAATCCACTCATCTCAGCCTCCCAAGGCACGGGATTACAGGCTGAGCCACCAAGCCCGCCTTGTTCTATTTTGAAACAGGACTGTGGGTGGGAAACTTTGCTGTCTCTTATAGTTTTGAAAGTCGAATTAGGTAGAGAATGGGGAACTAGGATTTAGAAATTTATTGCTAATCACAGTGTTCACTGACTGTGGTATGTTTTCCCTGAGACCCGCTCCTCACCACCACTCTATATGATGATGCAATGGGTACATGTGTGTACTCCCACTGATCTCTCTGGAGGTCTTCCTTGTCCTTTTCTGGCCACATCCTTTGTCCCATGGCTGAATCAGTGTGGGCGTGGGGCATCTGAGATTCAGTACTTGTCCTGGTCCTCCGAAGTTTGTTTTTTCAGGATATTATTACTTCTGGGTCTCAGTCAATCCCCGAGTAGTTGATCCACTGGTCACAGAGATCAGGTCTGTTGTTCCATGGTGAGCAAAAGAGCACTTTCCTGCCCCATTTTCAAGATGATAGCAGGGTGCTTCTTTCATTTTCTCCTGTCGGACTCTGTCTCTGGGCTCCCTCCACAGCCCTTGCTGCCAGTGTCCAGCCAGTCGCTGAAGTGGTGAGGCAAAGGATGGGGCCAGCAGTCTCTCCCGATGTAGTGGTTAGGCAGAGACTGGAGCTGATAGGCTCTCACTGCCATCTTTGCAGCAAAACTTTTGTCAGTTAAAAAAAATGGCACTCAGCTTCTGTGACCTAGAAAGTGCCAGGGACCAAGCAGAGCATCTGCAACACCAGCTGCTTCATCAAGAGTACCCTGACCACTTGCTCATCAACCCCCACTTAGTCAGTCTCTCCCAGCATCTTTTTCCCAGGAAGGTTTTTGTTTGTTTTAAAAAATGGCCTTTGGCTTCTGCATCTCGGGAAGCACTAGGGTCCCAGCCAAGCAACTATGGCACCAACTGCTGCACCAGGAGAGCCCTGGCAGTTTGCTCCTGAGCCCTCACTTAATCAGTCACTTGCACACCAACACACTCACCAACATATACAGAAAATTTTCCGTACACTCAGTCACTCACACAAGGACTCACATAGTCTGATTGGCTTGGCCACCATCTTCAGTTCATACTTCACCATGACTATATTGTAATATATTCCTAAGGATATTTCTTCCATAACTCTTGCTTGTTTTACACTGAGTTATATCTATGGACCTTAATCATATAATTAATATTTAATCTAATCAACCCCATGCTTGTATTTCAATTACTGCCCATTCCAAAAACTGCAACACTAATATTGCTGACTTGTCTTAACTTCACCAATTTGACCTTTGTAGGTCCTAAGGGTAACCCTGGTCTCCCTGGGCAGCCAGGACTTATAGGACCTCCTGGACTTAAAGGAACCATGGGTGATATGGGTTTTCCAGGTGAGTGATGAAAGTCTCTCAGATATTTAGTTCCATTAATGGAAGGTGATTTGCTATTGTTTTAATCAGAGAAGAAATTAATTTTGATATAAACAGTTTGTGACAATATCTAAGGTAATCAGTGGGTAGAGCTTCCTTGTTATATAAATATTTGAAGTGAGAATTAAGGGACCAAGCCTTGGAAACCTTAGAAGTTAGAATTCACAAACATATCTTTTCTTTAACTATATTCTTTCCATTTAAACTTCCAAAAAATAGGTTTTTATGTAAACATGGTTGTGAAGCTTATTATATAAATTAGGGTTTGCAGAATTTTAATATATCTTTTTGCTTAGTCATATGCATCTGAGTTATGCCACAGATAAAATTCTTGTATAAAATAATTCTATATTACATATTTTCAACAGGCCCTCAGGGTGTAGAAGGACCCCCTGGGCCTCCTGGAGCTCCTGGACAACCTGGCTCCCCAGGATTACCTGGACAGAAAGGAGACAAAGGTGATCCTGGTGTTTCAAGCATTGGTCTTCCAGGTCTTCCTGGCCCAAAGGTAATTATATTCCAGGCATATGCCTGAGAGGATGTGATTTTTTTAATATTGTACTCATTCTTAATTTTTCATTAAACAGACTATAAAATGGCATGGTATATTTTGGATAAGAGTTCTGTTCCTTCTCTTTTCTATTAGTTTATAAGAAAATCTGTCTTAAGGTTTGCAGTCAGTATAAAAATAAAAAGAAAAAAACCTTTTGATTTCTTTGTTTTCCCTCTTAACCTCTTATCTTAATCTCTCTTTTATCTTTTTTATTCTAGATTTTTTTTTAACTTTTAAATCTTTTATTTTAAAGATGTGGGGTAAAATTCAGGATTAGGTATACAAATGTTCATTATGCAGGTACCCTTGTTGATGAGGTGTGCCCCCCTCCCCTAGCAGTTTCCCTCAGCTGCCAATCCCACACCCCTCCCCTGCCTGGCAGTTTTCCATTACAGCCAGTCCCCTTCTCATAGCACTGTGATATTAGTTCAGTGTCCGCTTATGAGTGAGAACATATGGTACTCTGTTCTTTGTTTCTGTGATAGATCACTGACTATGAAAGACTCTAAGTTCATCCAAGTTGCTGGAAAGTCCATATGTTTGTCTTTCTTTTTGACTGCATAATACTACATTGTGTATATGTTCCACATTTTTTTTATTCAGTCCAGTTTCGATGGGCAGCATGTTCCATTCCATGTTTTTGCTATTGTGAATAGTGCTGTAATAAACATGTGTGTGCAGGTATCTTTTTGGTAGAATGACTTGAGTTCCTCCGGGTATGTTCCCAATAGGGAGATTACTGGGTCGTATGGAAGATCAATTTCTAGTTCTTTCAGAAATCACCACACTGTTTTCCTAAGAGGTTGCACTAGTTTGTATTCCCACTAGCGATGTAGACGCGTACCTTTTTTTCCACATCCTTGCCAGCATCTATTGTTGTTTGTTTTTATTAATGATGGCTATTCTTACTGGGATTACGTGTTATCGCAATGTGGTTTTGATTTGCATTTCTCTGATGATTAGTGAAGCTGGGCACTTTTTCATGTGTCTGTTGGTTGCCTGTATATCTGGGAAAACTGACTGATCATATGCAGCAGTTTGAAATAGGACCCCTCCCTATCACCATACACAAAAATTAACTCTAAATGAGTCAAAGACCTAAACGTAAAACCTCTAACTATAAGAATCTTAGAAAATGCAGGAGACCCCCTTATGGAAATTGGAACTGGCAACCAATTCCTGATTTAAAAAAAAAAACCCCAAATGCCCAGTTTGTAAGAGATGATAGACAAGTGGGACCTCATCAAACTGAAAGGCTTCTGCAAAGCAAAAGAAACGATCAAGAGAGCAGGGAGACAGCCCATAGACTAGGAAAAAATATTTGGCAACTGTATATCTGACAAAGGCCTAATATCTAGGATTTACAAGGTACTCATATGTGCCGAAAGGACAAAAGCAGCCCTATTCAAAAGTGGGTAAATACACAAATCTCTCTTCTCTTAATCTCTGAGTACATTTATATTAACCAACAACATAGTTTTGCCTGTTTTTGGTGTTTCCTTTTTAGTGATGGAGTTGTTGGTCTCTGTCTTAATATTATTATTAACTAATTATGAAAAGGCCTATAGACACAGTAACCTAAACGGTTAATTAAAATGTAGAGCCGGGCTCGGTGGCTCAGCCTGTAATCCCGTGCCTTTGGGAGGCTGAGGTGAGTGAATTGCCTGAGCCCGTGGGTTCGAGACCCGCCTGCGCAGCAAGACCTCATCTCTACAATAAATCAAAAAATCAGCCGGGCGAGGTAGCGCATGCCTGTAATTCTGGCTACTCGGAAGGCTGAGGCGGAAGGATCGCCGGAGCCCAGCAGGTCGAGGCTGCGGTGGCTGGGAGCGGCCACTGCACTCCAGTCTGGGCGACAGAGTGAGACTCCAACGAAAAAAAAAAAAAATTAAAATGTAGTAGTACTCTTAACTGCTTATCTAAGATAGTTCTCTGAATACAGTTATACATTCCCCTCTACTCCTCTGGTCAACGTGAAAACTTTGGTGGTATTTCTCAAGTAATCAAATTCAGAATTTGTTTTAGAATCGTTGTACTCAACAGGGATTTATTGACAACTGCTTAGCTCCATGTCAAAAGGTAATAACTCACCTAATCATGCAGTCAGATCATAAAGCTAAGGAGTATTATAAAAGGAATTACAGTTTTCAGTTTGCATGGAATTAGTGGAAATTCCCTCTGAAATAAGAATTTACTGAATTATACTTAAAGGTAATTTCTGTATTATAGTATATAAAAAGACATTAGTTTGGTTAGTTGGTCAACATACTAAAGAGATAATCAAGAAAAGTTTTGCATATTAATTACAGTTTAACAATGTAAAGTTTATTGAAGTGAATTTTGCTTTTCTTTGTTATATTTAGATTTTACCAGTAATATATGAATATATACTTTTATTAAATATAATAATATAGAAATATAAAAAGTAAAAGTGAAAATCTTCATGTCCCATCCTCTTTTCTCCATTCCTTTCCCTGTAAAGGCCTATTGTCAATAATTGATGTATAAATTTGAATCTCCTGTTCTGCACTTTTATATACATGCATATAGAAGTTTGTTTTTTCTGCATATTTTGTATATGTGGAATCATAGTATACATGCTATTCTGTACCTTCTTTTCTCACATATATCTTTTTTCTTTCTTTTTTCAATATATCTTAGACAATTTTCTTTGTCGTTGTACATTATATCTGAGGACACATGTATAACGATTTATACTGGATAGATTCCTAAAAGAGAAATTACTGAATCAAAGGATAAGTCAATTAATTTTTTGCCTTTAAGTTTTTATGATAATAGTAACATATGAACTTGATTTTAAAAATACAACTAATATGAAAATATGTGAAATGAGAAGTCATTTTTCTACATGTTCAGAAATCTCAAGCCCCCAGTTCTTTCCTATGGTAGCTGCTTTTAGCAGTTTCTCATATATTCTTCCATAAAAAGGTTTATGGATGCATATATATCTGTATATATAAGATTTCATTAATTTTAAGATTCATTTTTACACTAAAAAGTATCTGCTACTGGAATTCATATTATGATGAAAACCATATCATAATTAACATGGAAATCTTTTTTCCTCAATTGTTGATACATGAAATGATTCTGAATCTTCCAAATGTAAATATCTTCTTACATTTTTATTTACATATATGAAATCATAGTGTACATTTGCTCTATATGTATCTATCATCACTTGGTAAGTCTTTGCAAACTCTGTTTAAAAGCTTATAAATACATGCCTCATTATTTTTCATAATTATATAGTATGTTTTGTGTGGGTTCACTATAAATAATTTAACCTGTTATGAATACTAAAGTTGTTTCTATAGTTTCATGACTGGAAGCATATGTTGCACTGGAGATTCTTATCCATATCTTACTTACATATCTTAAGAATCTTTGGTAACTAATGCCATAGAATAAATTCTGAGCAGAGTTGCTGGATTCTAGTATATAGGTGCCTTTTTAATAGTGATAGTTACTGTCAAATTTTTCTGTTAAATAACTCTACTCCTTTAATACTTTCATGATTAGTGTAAGAAATTTCTATTTTCTCCTCATTTTACAAATACTGAGTGTTATCTTTTTTTAATTTCACTAATCTAATGGGTGAAGTTATATATCATTATTGTTTATGTATGAATGTTCCTGATTACAAATGAGGTTTCATATGTGTATATATCTTCTATAAATCACCTATTCACATTCTTTGCTTCTTTTTTAAGGAGAGGATTTAGTTATGTTATTCCTACTGATTTTTTTTAGATAAGAAGATATAATTTATTTAAAAAATAAATGAGAGAGAGAGTGAGAAAGAAAGAGGAGATTCACCTCCTCAATGCAGGGAAGGGGGCCAAAACCAGGAAGCATGGTGACAGCCATAGTTCAAAGAACACATGACCACACCAGAGTCTAGTAGGCAATGGCAAAATGGCCCCTACTAATTTTTAAAAGTATAATACAAACAGTGAAGATGCTGCACTTATTTTCTCCCAGTCAGTTGTTTGTCTTATAACATTGCTTACTGTGTATTTCTTATGTAGATGTTTAAATTTTTTCACATATGTAATGTGAATTTTGTACTCATTCATTTATTCATTCATAAAATATCTGTTGAGTATATATGATGTATCAGGTTCTGTTTCAGGTGCTGGAGTTATAACATGAACGAAACAGACAAGTTTACTGCCTGAATGGAGCTTATATCTGGTCAAGGAGACATATAATAAACAGAATAAATGTGTATATTATGCTAGGTGATAAATCTCATGGCAGAACGTAAAGCAAAGATTGAGGATGGGAATTTCTGGGAATAACTATGTTTTGTAATATATGAGTAGGAGAATGTCTCTCCAATAAGATAATTAATAATTGAGCAGTGTTCTCACTGAAATAAGGGAGTGAACTATGTAAAGACTTTGAGGTGGGAGCATACCTGACATGTTTAAGGAACATAAATGAGGCCATTGTGCATTAAGCAGAAAAAGTGCGGTGATACTGAGTGATAAGATTAAGTTGGTGATGGGGCACAGATTATCTAGGGCCTTATAGATCATAGTAAGGGCTTTTGCTTCTGAATTAAATGGGGAACTAATAGAAAGAGTAAAATTATTGTGCATTAATTTTAAGTATCACAGTTTCTGTTTTGGAAGTAGCTCATAGAGGAACAAGGATGAAAACAGAGCAGTTATGATGATATTTATATAAGATAGGCTAGAAATGTTGATGGCTTGAATCAGGGAGGTAGCAGTGGAAGTGATAAGAAATAGTCAAATTCTGACTATATTATGTAAGTCGAGCTAGGAATATTTGCTTATGGAACATGAGAGAAAGAGAGGAGTAAAGGATGACACCAAAGTTTTTAGCCTGAGCCACTGAAAAGTGTAATTGCTACACACTGAGACAGGAAAACTTTTGAAACAAACAAGTTTAGTGAGAATGATCAG